GATGTGAGTAAGTCCCAGACGGCAAGGCACCAGTACTCCAAAGACCTTGTGATTCTCTCTTTAATCGGGCGATTCTCCTGATTCTGTGGATGGCTGCCGACCGTCTGCTAGCCTTCGTCATTCTCCTTCGTGCTGTGGCCCTGGCGCGAGCCCGTCCTGAAGCGACGTCGGCCCCCAAGTCTGTGGCAGCCTGTGCTGAGGTTGCCCGAATGCCCATTCTCCGAAGTGCTCGGGCCACTTTGTTGGCGATGCTGCTCGTGCTGGCGACAACGACCGTCTTGGGGCTGATCGTGAGGCCCTCGTGTTGCATGTCGTGGCCGATGGAGGCGCCAGCTTGGACCAATGTTGTCTCGACGTTGTAGGCCGTGCCCTCGCAGCGAATGATCGTGTCGCCCACGAATGTCTTCATCATGATGTTGAACTGGTACTTGTCATGAGCCCTCTGGAGGATAGGGCCCAATAGTACCTTTGCTAATTTGCCGCCGTGTGGAGATCCTGCCACCAGTGACTTCTCGATCTTGATCGGCCTGCTGATCCACTGGCGCTCCTTGAGGTACCTGGGGGCAAGAAATATCTGTAGTTCCATTGCGAGGATGACTGCGGGGGAGCCCTGCCTGAGTCCAGCTTGGCAGAGCTTTGTGATGGAGATGCTGTCGTAGAACTTCTCCAGGTCTAGAAGGATTGTCGCACAACTGATGCCCATTGTGAAGCAGCACTCGCCCATGCAGGCTCTCGCCAGCGAGGCTTGAAGCGGGCTGCTCCCTTTGATGGCCGTGTCCCAGAATTCGCCCAGCTTGCCACTCCACCTCTCGCTCAACGGGTAGCGGAGCTTGGACCAAACCTTCACCGTATAAGGAAGCACTCCCAGGATCCTGTCGCCCCCCTTGGGCTTGGGGGCGACCGCACCTACGACCGTGAATATCTGATGAGGCCACATGAGGTGGTTCTCGCAAAGATTGAGGACCTCCACCATCTGCCTCCGTCCTGGCTCTGGGAGTCGTTGCACCTCCAGCGGGCCGAGGTTGTCGACTCCTCTGGCCTTCTTCGGGTTCTGCTTCGCCAGCAGGTGGTCCAGGTGCTCCAGCTCGATCGGGTGCACGTCCTCCCTCTTGGCTTGCTCCGTGACAAACTCGAGGCCGTCGAGGATACTCTTGTGGTCGGAGCTGGGGTCGGACCAGATGTTCTCCCAGAAGTCAGCTCTGCGATCCATGATCTCGCAGGGTGTGGCATAGGTGCTGCCCTCGTCACTGAAGTGCTCGTCTCGTCGAGTAGTAGCTGGCTTCACATGTCGGTGTAACGCACCTGGAGCCTGCTTCCACATGCGTGTGGCCCAGCTTGCAAAAGCCCGCCTGTCGTTGGCGAGTCCAGTACCCACCGCGCGGGCTTGAAACCTCAGGCCGAACTCCAGTAGGGCCTGCAGCGAGTCGATGTTCTGCCCGTCTAAATCGGTGATGGCCTTAGTCCACTCCTCCAGGGTCCTCTTGTCTTCTGGGTCGTTGTACTTGTCGAAGAAGTTGTTCTCGGTGGCAATGTGTAGCAGCTCCTGCATTTTTATTGCCATGCGCTTGTAGTCCTGCTCTGCAAACTTGCGCCTCATTAGCTGATATCTGGAAATGATCGTCGTTGCCAGATGCCACCATTCCACGATTGGGTCCCGCATGTGTGTACGGGCTGGTGTGGCACGGGTTCTTCGCCAAGTGATCCCATGCTCTCTGGCTCTGCCTTCATACTTTTTCCAACCGGACTCGGGAATGTTGTGGTGCTTGAGCGTGGCCTTCTCCACTGTCTGCACCCAGTCGCCGAACGCCTTGGCAACCTTCTTCTGCGCCTCCAAGTCACGGGTCAGCAGGCAGTGGGAGGAGGGGTAGTTGTCCTGGTCGTCGTTCGACTCCTTCCTCACGTGTTTCCCCTTGTCCTCTCCCAGTCCTGCCACCGTAGCGGCTGCCGAGTGCCACACCTCAATCGGCATATCGAAGGTGATCGAGTCGTTGCTGTGTGTGTCCTGCGTGGTTGGCCAGCTGTGGAGCTCCCCGTATGCGTCCTGTAGCTCCTCCTGGAGTCTGGCCTTTGCCCGCTGGTGCCGCTCGGCTAGCAACTTCTGGCGCTTGCTGTTCGGGTCCGCTTTCTTGGCTGGTCGTCCCGCCGACGGGAGCTGCTTGGGTATACACATAGCTCTATGCCACCAGTGCTGCTTCCCCGCTCGTATGGACAGCAGTAATCCCACGTGGGTCTTCCAGGGGACCTCAGGGACTGCTTCGGGCTTGAGGGAGCCGCCGAACCCGCTCTTGCAGATCCCGTAGTCAATGAGGGACCCGCGCCCCAAGTTGCAGGTGGTCTTCGTGTTCTCAGGGAGGATAAGATGGCCGCCGATCTTGCGCAGCCACTTGGTTCCTTCCCATGCCTCTGGTGGGTTGTTCCAGTCGGCGAGGACAACCCACGGGTCGGATATCATATTGATGATGCTGGCTAGCCTGATCATCATCTTCTCGTTGGGGCCCTTGAAGCCGTGCTTCGGCTGCATGTACGCGGAGATGGCGACGATGTTGCCAGCCTTCGTGTGCCATGTCGTAGGGCAAAATCCTTGAAAGGGGTCGACTGCAGACCGTTCGATCTCGTGTTTGCGCCACCCCTCGAACGTCGTGGTGGCCAGTGAACGCTTGGATATGATGGCTTCGCCGCCCGTCGTACCTTCAGCTGCTCTGCCCGACGGTGCTGCGGCGGTGACGGCGGCCTTCCATCCGTCCTTGCTGATCTTCTCTGTGAAGTCCAGGACCTTCACGCCTCGCAGGTGCATCTCCGCGAATCCTATGACGTCGTACTGCTCCGCCTGGGCTTTCATGAACCCCTCCGCCTGCGGGCCCCACTCCGAGATGTTCGAGAAGAAGTACGTCGCATCGTAGTTCTCTGGAACGGGGGCCCGAATGCAGGAGAGGCCTTGTGGTGGGAGGGGCGGCTGAAGGGTGTCACCTGGCCTCGGGTGGCCTCCTCCTCCCAGGCCGATGGGTAGGTCACCCTCGCTGCGCGGCCGCAGCTGCAGCTCTGGGCGCGCCGTCGCGAGAGCTCCTAGCACCATTGCCAGTGCCCAGGGGAGGGAAGTCGCCCATGCTGGCCAGCGTGGCCTCCCTGGCGCTCGCGATCTTGGCGGCGATGTCGCTCTCTGAGACTGCGATGGTGGGGCCGTCCTCCGCAGCAGGTGCCTGGTCTTCGTCAGGGCCTTCAGCTTCTGCTGCGCCAGGACCAGGGACGGGACCGTCCTGACCACGCTGCCGTTTCGCAGGGGCAGCTCGGATCTCCTTGACGCTCTTGAGCGCCTCCTGCATGGTCTTCTGGAGGTCCTCCACCTTCTTGCAGTGCTCCTCCACCTGCTTCTGGATGGCCTTGAGCTGGGCCTTCTGCGCGTCGTCGAACTCATCGCTGGTAACGAAGTCGAACTCATCCATCGCGAGGTAGATCTTCTTGCCGTCCGCGGTGTAGCCGTCCTGCGTCTTGGCGGCGCCCGTGGAGTCGGCGAGGGCCTTGACCGCCAGCGTGTGGGCCCGCTTCGCGGAGAGGGCCTCCTCCGCCGTCTGGCGGAGCCACAGCTTGGCCTCCTGGAGTGCCGTCTCCAGCTTGATGACGTCTGCCGAGGCCTTCTGAAGAGCCATCTCCTTCTTCTCCAGGGTCTGGCTGCAGCGGTAGACCTCCTGGTTGGGCGATACCGGCTTTGCCTTGCTCGCCTTGAAGGAATTGTCCGCCTGGCGGAAGACGTCGGCGTGCTCAGCGAGGGCGGGGACATTCGAGAGGATGCTGAGCATCTGCGATATGTCAGGCTCCTTGGACCACGGGTGCGTGCCTTTGCCACTGCCGAAGTGCCACGCCGACTTGTCCTCGCCCTTGCCGCCTTTGTAACTGTGGATGCCTTTCTTACCTTTGCCGTTGCCTTTCGCCGCTGCAGCGTCAGGCTTGAAGAGTGTGACCTGCTCCCCGCACTTGCCACAGAATCCGCCGTTGTGCAGCAGGCGGAAGTTGTACGTCCAGTTGCCGCAGGTACACCAAGAGAATGGGCGCGGCGCCATGACTGATTGACAGATCGAGAGGGAGCTCTAAACCCAACTGCGCTGGCAGCTGGGCGGTGCGATTCTCCCGAAAACTCCGAGAACACAGTGCTGCTCTGGCAGCTCAGATTTTGGCACGGAGGCGCGGAGCCCCCAAGTGCGGGCATCTTGAGCCAAAATGGCTACGGAGAGGAGGAGGAGGAGGAGGAGGAGGAGGAGGAGGAGGAGGAGGAGGAGGAGGAGGAGGAGGAGGAGGATATGTTCGCCGTTCGAGACCAGCCGCGTCAGCCGTCGCATCCCCCCCGGAAAGGCGCCGCCGGCGGCCCTCCTCGAGCGCGCCCCGCCGTGCCGACACGGCGGAGAGCAGCCGCAGCGCCTCCGCCTGCGACAGGCGGTCGCCCAGCCTGCGGCGCGAGCTCGCGGGGAGGACGCCAGCCATACACTTAGGTCGGGCATGTCCCCCTACAGGCGGATTTTGGAGGAGAAATTGGAAACAGTCTAAACATGTTCCCAAAATGGCAGAGATCGCAGACAAATCGTGCCCGGACATTGTTTGACTATTTTGGACGATTCCTCCTGTGAAGGGACATGCCCGACTTGACGCCAGCCATACACCCACACCGGGCGCTGCAATTGGCTCACGCCCGGCGTTCTCGCCCAGCCTCGGGCCCTGGGACCACGACAGGTCTAGCTGCCTCGGAAATGCTGCAGAAATCGGGGACGGTCAATCCAGCTCCGGGTCAGTCAGGCCTTGCAGGACCCTGCAAAATCCTGCAGGAGCCTGTCAGTATCCTGCACCCGAGCCAGGGTCAGTGCGCCCCTGGCTCCGCAGGATCCTGCAAGATGCGGCGCTCTGACTGACCCCCGTGTCTGGAGCCCCGAAGCAAGATAGGGTCTAGGGCTCCGGTCGTGATGTCTTGCGGCGCTACATCTTATCGCATCGTCGGATCGCAGGACCTGCCCATCATGGCCAGGCTGGTGCAGGTGCACATGCGCACTCCTGGAGTCGTGCACGCCGATCCTGCGCTCGGGATCGGCCTCGCCACGATCGGTATACAAGTCGGTCGGACGAGGCAGGTGAAAACATAAAAAGTAGGAAAGCGGATAAATTAGATTGGGCCCAGGCCCTCCCAGATAATCACGAAACGCAGCAAAAGCATACCGAATGTTGAGATCAGAAGGCGCTAGAAAATCATTGGGATCTGAGTGTCGAGCAATACCTACTTTCAACGACCGACGGGTAAGTGTGCCATTGGTGTCCTCGGGCTCCTTCCGATCCCCTTCTTCGGGGATCCTCTGGCCCGGGTCCATGCACACCGGGGCCAGTCGGGCACCGCAGGACCTTGCAGGATCCTGCAGGGTCCTGCGTGCTGGCCCGCGTCAATTAAGACGAGGCCAGGACGAGGATACATTCGGGTGAGGGGAAATACGAAATCTCTGAGATCTGGCAGCTCTGGAGGATCTCTCGGGCGCCGCGGTCTTCTCAAGGCGTTCCGGAACGCTCTGAGAGCATTCCAGAACGCTCTGGAACGGATTTCTCCTCGTCCTGGCGCCGTCCGATACATGCCCCCCTGGCCTCCTGCAGGACCCTGCAGGACCCTGCAGGACCCCGGCGCCTTGGCGGACCTCCGTTGGCATATCAGAGGCCTCCCAGATGGGGCCCGAGCAGATGGGGTTGGAGGATCGCGACGTATCGCCAATGCCGATGCATCGGCGATGCATCGGCGACGTCGGCGATGCATCGGCGACGTCGGCGTGTGGAAACACGGTCTCCACATCGAGCCGCCTCGTCGATGCATCGACGATGCTCCGCGATCCCCCGACCCCATCTACTCGGACCCCATCTAGGAGGCCTGGACCTTCGTAGAAAGAGGCTGCTTCTTAGAATGCGCCAGCCACACATCTATAGATAAGGCCCGCGCCTTCTCATAAGCAGGGGTGCTTCTAAGAAGCCCTCCCCCCTCCCCCCACCCCCCTCTGCGCGCGGCTGAGAATTAGGAGGGCATATACCAGGCTCCCATGATCTGCTGCCGAAGGATCTCTGGGGGGCCCGGGCCCCTCACAGGTCTGGACCCCTTCACGGGG